GTGCACTGTCTACAACTTCCAGGGTTCTTGCAAAACAACAATTCCTTACTTAGTCGCTGGAGAGAACTGAAATTGAGCGGCGGCACTAGGTGGTGGCAGCCTGGCTAGCACTATGTAACCTCTAAGGTGGAAGTCCACTACACGTGCTTGTCTCCATGGAGATGTTATTTCTTTGCATGGAATGCTCCACAGTGAGGCATTAAACATATCTCCTTTGCATTTGTTCAAGTTAGGTGTCTTATACCTTAAATTTACCTTAAAAATGTGAATTCTTATCACGTGCAGGCTTGCTTCTCCATAGATCCAAGTGCATTTCCATACTGTGGAATAATCAAAGCAAAACAGTAATATCTCTATGGAGACAAGCAGGTGATGGATCCTTCACCAGAAAAGTAAAAGTTACACAGTGCACCTTTAAGTATTGTAGATGAATTATCTTAAATGAATATAGCAATATTATTGAATTGGATAGGCAGGAATGCTAAGCAAACTCTATACTCCAAAACTTGATATAAATTGCTTCATGTAATAATAATTTAATTGACCTCTTGTATGTAGAATGTATATTTGTGGCTCTTACAATAGCCTGGATTTGTTTTATTTTGGCTTGCATATATTGGCCAAAAGAACAACTGATGCAGACCAGACACAACTATTACTCAAAAATCATATCATCAACCACTGCTAATGAATAATTTGGATCTAATTTCTTGGCATTCCAATCTACTCTGTATCAGCGTGATGCACCATTACAGTCAGTTGTGTCTGCTTTATTAGTTTCCATGGCCTAAGGGGTTAATGGGAAAACTGAACAGTATTCCAGTATTAATGTTTGATACATCCTATACATTATTCCCTTGTTTTTTTCTACTTTTGTTTATCAATTATACATGTTTCCATCTATGTTAAAGGATTTTTGACCCCTCCCTTAGGCACTATACATTTATGTCTCCTCTCCTTTTGTCCATATAAAAATCTACTACAGCACGTCGTACCTTATCTTATTTCATTTCAGTATTGTGAGTGGAATATAAGAGGGAAAAATCTTTACTTGACTGAACAAAGAAAGAAAAATAGACCGTGGAGCTTAAAGGAAGAAAGGGCCCTTAATTGAGAGCAAGTCAACGTCTGCAGATAGCTGGATGTCAAAAGGTGGGATTGGAGATTGGCTGCAGATAATGAATAATTACAGCTGGCAAAGTGCATACAAGCTGTTAACGCGACGTAGAAAGAGCGAAGAAGCATCTATAAATTGTGTTTTTGTTATGATATTCTCTGAAATGACAGATGTGCTGGTCGGGTTGAGTCTTATCTCAGATTGCACTAATTATATATTTTTTTGCTTCATTCGTTTATTTCATTATTTAGATTTTTTTTTAAACTGAAAACACTGTTCCACTTTGTGATGGAAGTGCCCCACTGTGTTCTTAAACCTCATACATCTTCAATAAAATAATTTGGATGATTTCAAGGGTTGTAACAATAACCGAAATATTGTGATATTGTATCGTCAAAGTTCTCACAATAATATCGTGGACCATCACAATATATCGACTTACAAAGCTCTTTGCTTAAATGAAGAGTTGTGGTGCAGCAATAGCTTAGAAAAAAAGATAAAGGGAACTACATAGACCATGATCCTTTGCTCCATTTCAGTGTAGACTACAGGAAGAAATAACAGTTTTACGCACTTCATAGTTATTTGGATTAAGTCTTGTCAAGGCATTTTAAGAGGAAAAAGTAGCATATTAACAGTTCTGTTAGCCTCCACAAAATATCGCAATAAATATCGTACTGTGAGATGTATATCGTGAAAATATCGTACCGAGATATTTGGATATTGTGAGCCTCTCCATCATGAGCTTTCGTATGATATCGCAATATGCCTGTGCCTTTTCTATGTTCATGAGGCAAGCGGTTGATGCCACCAGACCAAGTTACAAGTTATATTTGTGGAGAGGCAACACCATTCAGGAGTAAAACATGTTTCTCAAGATTTCAACCCCGTTATCTGCATACATGGAAGATAAATCAGTTTAATGCCATATTGTGGAACATTCCAGGTGTAGCAATGATATCTTCAAGCTGGTTGCATTGTTTTGGTCAATATTGAAATCACGATTATTGAAACGATTATTTTTTAGTTACACGATGCATTTATTCAACATTTCTCTCTCTCAAAAAAATAAAAATAAATAAATAATGATAATGATAATTTATGCAAAACTTTCAAATTGAAAATAAATATAGACTCCAAATATGTACTTTAGAGCAGTTTTGCGATGTATAAAACATAAAATGCAAAATAAAATACATATACTTATTTATATAAAAAAATATCCCAAAATAAAGTTTGTTGAGCTTTATCGTTTCAACTTGATTATGTGAGTTTGGAGATCGTTTGACATACAAATTTAAATCTCGATAAAAAATTTGGTTAATTGCACAGCCTTACATTTAAGTCTTAGACCAAGTTCCCAATGGCAATAAGTACAAATACAAGTAAGTCAGATTTAGCGATACAAGTGGCTGCAACATTTTACCAAAATTCATATATATGGACATAAAACTGCTTTAGTTATTTTTGATTACAGAAATAGTTTCGAGAATCTGGCGATCACCCACCCGCCATATCTCAGCCATAGCTTTTAATTTCCAAGGACAGCCTGGCTCTTGTTCCTCTCCCAAACACTGTTACTGGGAATGGATTGCACTACCTTGGTCATAAATCCTACCATTGGCATTTTTAAATCTTTAATGCCTCTTAAATTTTCATCTCCTTCTCAGGGAATGCTTTTTGCCTTGCTTACCGACCTCACAATGGTATAAAAGGTCAATTGTTTATTCCAATTACTTGCGGAAAGGATTTTAGCTAAGTGGTTACAGATATTTGCTCAGAGCCAACACCTTTTTTTTTTTTTTTTTTTTTTTTTTACTTACTTTAGCTTTGGGCGGTGATTGGTTTAATACTCTGGGATATTTTTAAATGTGTTTTTTGGAAAGCTTTTGTGTATTGGGATTGTCTGAGCGAAAGAACATTAATCACCCCAATTAAGGACTGTAGCCTGAAGTCATGTAAGAGTTGGCCTGCAGTCTCATACTCATATTTACATGATTAATGCATCCAACTAGTGGAAAATAATAACATGGCTGACAATGTAATATGTCCAAAAGCTCACAAATGGGCTCAATAAATGTCAGGACGAGCGCGGTCAGTCTAGTCTTGATGATTTAAGTCTTAGGTCCATGTTGTCTCTGTGGGTTCTTGTAAACTTATTGCAATACTAGATAACACTTTAAAACAGCTTTAGTCTTGAGAATTGGGTGAAGTGCGGGGCCTATATGCCTCTACGGGAGATTCGCTGTTTTTGCAAAATATATCCATCGCCGTGAATGTTGAAACTTATCATTTGTTACCGATTTGAAGTCCGTTCAAAACACGACAATCATGTATTTGAAGTTGAATAGTAGCACCACTTTCTAAAGCTATTGTGAGAAAAAATAGTTTCACTTTTGTTTGTTTAAGATGAAAATATTGAACTTTGTGTCAGTTTTTGTTTCATGCGGATGAGCCCAGAAATAACAGATCATCGAATTGTGTTTCATCTAAGTGTTGTTGGGGAATTTTTAAGCAGACAACAATACCATAAGTTTAATTTGCTCAGTTTCAGATAGCATCACAACATTCTATAGGTCAATAATATTCAATACAGATGCGACAGCTAGAATTAATATTGTTAAAATGCAGGTTTCTTTTTTTTTAATAGTAGTTTATATCGGTAATTTTGCAGCACTATAAAACAAAGTAAAACTAAAACTAAAACATAGACTACAACTCCATGGATCATGACCCAAAGGTTTAGGCTGAAGTAAAAATAATTCTAAGTAAGAAAAGCAGCGTATGAACAGCAAGTTTGCATTTACAATTTCACTTACGATTTACTGTGTATATGAGACAAAATATAAATTAAAACAAGCTAAATTTAATGTATAATTCATTTCTTTCTTTAAAAGTTCTTGTTTTTCATGTTTATGGTCGCATAAACCAACAATAATGACAAAGGAGTAGGGGTGTAACAATAACCAAAATCGGGATATTGTATCATCAAAAGTCTCACAATAATATCGTGGGCTGTCACAATATATCGAATTACTGAAGTTCCTTTACTTAAATGCATGGTTTTATAGTAGCAACAGCTTATAAACATCCGAAACTACATATCCCATGATTCTTTTCAGCGCAAACAACATGAAGAAATGTGTTTTTTACTTTAATTCTTCTAATATCAGCCTCTTCAAAATATCGCAATGCAGATCGTGATAATATCATACCGTGAGATTTGGATATGGTGACATTCATACAAAGGAGGCACAAAGTTCATCGTCCATGATCGCATCAAAACAAAATGCAACGTCAAAGAAAAGCATCAGCCAATAGTCGTGGTTTACTTGTGAAGACGATATATCTAGTCTTCTATGTATTTCTGTAAGATTAGATTTTTATGTTGTGTTTTTGAAGTGCATCAAATTAGTACAGGCTTTGATATGGTCATCTAAAGTATTCCATAAGTCTTCTCATCTTTTGAGAGTGGTTCGAGAGAATTGTTTTTTAAGATTCAGTTTTGTTGTAACATATCTGATTTTAAGGTCTAGTCACTAACATACAGTAAATAATCAGGTTCAGCATTTGTGAATTTACATTTTGGATATTTCATGTAAAATTCAATGTAATCTATTGGGGGAAAAAAACAATGTTCCTGCCTCATATCTGACAGTATGATATCATCACTTTCTAGAATCTGAAATATACAGTGATTCCTAATACATCTTTCCTTGCCTTTCTTTCCCATTACTTTTCCAGATTCGTCATGATAAACCTATAACATACTCCATTATGTATCTCATCATTCCTTTTTGAACACCACCATTTTGAAATAGTCCAATCTATGACTTACTTTTCTCACTTTTTGGACTAAATAGATCTTTTCTGCCCTCCTTAGGCGATGGTGGAGACGGTGAACAATCTGCTGCAGCCCCCGGCCCAGGCAGCGTGGAGAGAGCTGAGCACCGGAGACCAGCTGAAAGCAGCCACCACACTGCTGGACACGGTGGAGCAGGGAGCGTTTGTTTTGGCCGACAACCTGCTCAAGACTGATATAGTGCAAGAGACAACCGACAATATCAGTAAGTCAAGAGTAATCAGGATTTACTGCGTGTTGATTTACAATTCCAAATAGCTGAGATTCATATGACAAGAATGTTTTTTAGTAAGTTTCCTTGTGACTTAATTTTGAGGTATAAAACTAAACCGTTCAGTTCCACCTTGTGATGTCATATGGTAATACAGGAAGTGCTCTATTATGTTTTTTAACTCCATACACCTTCACTAAAATAATTTGGATAATTTTTTAACCTTGGAATTGCCAATCTCTACAAAACAACAACAAAAGTACAATTATAATGTTACATTTGCACATTACTAATTATTCCATTTATTTGACCTCACAAGCAAAAGTAAAATTTATAGTTTGTTTTTTAATGTAATTTTAGTTTCATATAGAAGACTGGAGTGTTGTAAAATATAATACTGTATAACATGTTTAAAAAAAAAGGCTATTTTAGTCGATCTGTTCATTGTCAAAATGAAGCAAAACTAAAGCAAACAGTGAACATTGATGAAAGTATCCATAACATTGCTCAAGTAAAAAATAATAATAATAAATTAAATAAAATAAATAAAAAAAAAACACATGAAATTTGCTATAAAATGCAACATTACTGATTTGATTCAGTTCAGATAATTTGCTTCAGTACTTTCATTTTTACTGACTATAATCTTTAACAATCATTTTTAACCTTGCATAAAGACTTAAGACTTTTTTAATAGTGCCTTTATAATCCAGAGCTCTTGTAATTACTCTGACTTCATTCTGCTTGAGTAAACTACTTCTTGACTCGTCTTAGCAACAGTTTACCATCTGCCAGTGTGTGTACTGTCTGATCAAATATGACATTTAGACAATCAGCCTCTCTAAAAGTTGAATACTGGCCTTCTCTGTTGCTATATTCTCAGTACTATTGCTTTTTATGATACTTTTAAGTGTTTCATTCAGCTTGAGCCAGCCTGTTTTATGGGGTCACAAAGTTCACAGTGGAGGTATTGATTTGGGCGCTCCAGTATTGACGGATTCGGCTCTTGCAGGCTGAGGAACAAGTGTGAAGGTCGGTGGATTAATGGCTGATTCTCGGTTGGAGGTGAAGTTTAACGGGGAACGCTAACGACTGATAGCTCCAAATGAATGATTATTGTGAATGATCGTGTTGATATTGGTGTCAGTTATGCACCGGCCCGTGTCTACAGATAATAGGGTTTCAAAAGTGTCATGTAATACTGTGAAATGATCAGTAACCCATAATTTTGACATTACATAATAATTACCTTGAACTGAACATTTTCTACTATATATATTCAGATGTTAAAGGCGTGCACTGTGACCTTTCTGAGTCTGCCAACTGTTTGTCTCCATGGAGATTGATATGTTATGTTATACTATACTTTGAAACATGCAGGCAAAGCAATAACATTTCCAGACAAACAGGTAGCGTACCTTACACCTGAAAATCTACACAGTGCAGCTTTAGTGGGCAATCTTAGCATTACACTTAAGGATGTCTTGATACACAATTTTAGTGTTATGAATATTGTGAGAAGTAAAATTTTGATTTTACAATTACTGACACCATATTAAATTAATGAAGGTCCTATTTATTTGTTTGTTTATTTATTTAGTTAGTTAGTTAGTTAGTTTTAGTAGTAGTAGTAGTAGTAGTACTTATTTGTTTATTTATTTATATCAAACATGTATCTACAACATATAATGCATCTTGACAATCAAAAAAGTAGACAGTAAAACAAATAAAATAAAACCTTTACATACATACATACATACATACACATATACACACATACACACATACATACACATACATACATACATACATACATACATACACATATACACACATACATACATACATATTTACGTACATACATACATACATACATACATACATACATACATATACATACATGCATACATACATAGATATACATACACGCATATATACATACACACACACATACACACATATACATACATACATACATACATACATATACACACATACATACATACATATACACACATATATACATACATACATACATACATATACATACACATACATACATACATACATACATACATACACATATACATACATACATACATACATACATACATACATATACATACACACATACATACATACATATACACACATACATACATACATACATACACACACATATACATACATACATACATACATACATACACATACATACATACATACATACATACATACATACACACATACATACATACACACATACATACATACATATACACACATACATACATACATACATACACACATACATACATACATACATACATACATACATACATACATACATACATACATACATACATACATACATACATACATACATACATACACACATACATACATACACATATACACACATACATACATACATACATATACATACATATACATACATACATACATACATACATACATACAAGGTCCTATATTGCACAAAATTGACTCCTGCGAGCATTTAGCCATGTTAAAATGTTGTTGCCTTCTCAAAAACACACCTGGAGCTCTGTTTTGGTCGTTTTACACATGTTTAAGTAATGCTTTGTTATCAGTCTGGATACCTCACCAAAGTTGTGATGTCATGAAGAGTTAGTTTTCAAATTAACAGCGACCTTATACCTTTTGTTCAGTAGAGATTAGCAATTCCAGGTCTGTAATTATTCAGATGATTCTAGTAAAGGTGTATGGAGTTTAAAAACACAGTGGAGCACATGACATCACAAGGTGGAACAGCGTGTTTTCTGTTTGAGAGAAGATCTCAGCCCATATATGCAGAATTTTTATGTTAAATTAAGCAAAACACAACCCTTGGTATATTTTTGATGAGGGAACAAGATTATAGATTGGAAAATAGCATAATATGGGCCATTTAATTGCCCCGGTGATTTGTTTAATATAATCAAACATTCCAAATGTTAGTGTTACAGACATAAACAGATAAAAAGCTCAACATTTTTGCTCATGTAATGAACTGAAATGATTAATAGCGTAATCTAGTTGTATGTTTTTATGTTTTATGTAGCATATGTGTGTTCTTTTTGTAGAATCAATACTTCCCCAGTGTCACTTCAAAGTAAAATACATAGTTAAATCATTTGTAGTGTGCTTCTTTTTGCCTTGTTAAAACCAAACCTATGGGAAAAGGCGATTACGTTCAAAAATACTGTTATGATGAATTGCCCAGTCCTGAGTGAATTCGACTGCCATGGCAACCTAAAATATAGGTCTGCTGATTTAAAAAGGAAGCCGAGAATTAATAAATGGGATTTTATTGTATCTGGCACACTATTCATCTGGGTATTAAGCAGCTCGTTTGGAAACAGGGGCGCGAGCGACGGAGAAGGCAGAGTCGGAGTGAGTTTTTTACAGCTCGCGGTGGTAGCCTGGTTAATTATGTTCTGGTGACATGTTTACTAGGTCTTATCTCCCTGTTTGCGTGGCTTATTTTTCGCAGCCAGTTGGCTTTTGTTGGCTCCTGCAATTCCTCACGCCATGCAGGGCAGTTAAATGAGGACAAGAAGCCCCATTAAACACTAGTAATCACTGCAGTGGCTAATGATTGATCTCTCGCATTTGAAAGGCATGGAAATGGAAAAAACTAGGTGCGGGAGGATGGAGCTTGCAGTAAAAATTAGGAATTTGTGCAAATATGATTGGAAGTGTCTGCAGATAAGGTCCGTGTCATTTCAAATATCCAAGACGTCATGAGCAAAAGAATCCAGTAATACGTTATCATGTAACTACACTTAATTCCTTCTTCATAATGAACAAGTCATTTGTTAAAGGACCCATATGATTTCAGCCCTGGAATTTCCAATCTGTACTAAACAAAAGTTAAAAAGGTAACATGAAAACTACTGTTTCATGACATCAGAAGGGTGAACAGAGCATTTTGAGTTTTAGAGACGTAAATGTAATGATTATTCAAACATGTGAATGAAACAAAACACAACTCCAGGTCTATTTTTCATGAGGTAACAACATTCTAACATGGCTTAAAGGTACATTGCATAACTTTCCTGGTGGAGGATCCGTCACTTGCTTGTTTCTATGGATATATCATTGCTCTCCCCAGAATGTCCAAGGTATGATATTAAACAGCTTTACCTTACACTTATTAAATTACAGGTGGTTTTATAACTCAAAAATACATACAAAAACACGCATTCTGATTGTGAGAGGGGTTGCCTCTCCACAAATCTGACATGTGACTTGATCTGGTTTGGTCTTCATGAAGGTAGAAGTGTTTAATACTATGAACGAGCATTACCATACTGTGAAACATTCCAGACAAAGTAATAACATCTCCATGGTGAAAAGCCTCTGACAGACCCTCCACCAGAAAAGTTACACAATGCCCCATCAGTATACACTTCCATCAACATACCCCAGGGCAGTTGTGCCTACATAAGTAGCTTACCACCACCCAGTGTGAGGAGTGAAAGAACAATGGTGAATTGACTTTAAAATGTGTCTGGAATGTTCCTATATAAAGTAGCGCATGATCATTATAGTAATTACCATATGAGAGCAAAAAATCTAACTTAAAGTACTTTGACATTTGATTGACATTTTGAATGAATTTAATGATGGAAAATGTTAAAGTATTTCCTAACAAAAGTTGAAAAAGCCATAAAAGCCTAAAAATATGTGGAATTGGACATACTAGTATTAAAGAAACAATAAGAGGAGGAGATAGACTGAAAAAAACTACTTCAGAGGGAGTCATACTGCATCTACACTCTCAAGGCTGCTCAATGTCCAGGACTCAATCGAGAGTTAGATTTCTCCACCTTCCTTTAAAACCACAAGCTTTAAACAAGTCTTCATGAAATCGTTTTAAGATTAGCCATCTTATATAATATACACATATATTTTTGTTTATAATTTGTATTTTTGTATGTATTGGTTGTTGGGAATTGTACTATTTATATCTTGTAGTTTAAACTGCTTGTAGCTAAAATCTGTTCAGCTTACATGTCCCATCATGCACCAGGGGACTGTGGGCTTGAACATGTGACTTACACCTATTACTGTAAATCTGCACTGTGATAGCCATCTTGAGTTTGCCCTGATGAAGGCCATTGGCGTGATTTTTAACTGATCTGCCATGTGGTGTTAAAGTCTTTTAATTATTTTGTACTTTCTGAGTGTCTCAGCTTTTTCAGCTCTTTATTTGAGACTGGTCCCTACACTGAAATAGCCTGATTCATCCATTGGTTTCACTTCTGACTATACAGCATTAGAATTTGTTTGCTGGACGGTAGGCGGATACTTTTTTTATTATAACCAATCACTGCTATTTGGTCTTGATGTATTATTGCGACAGAACGCTTAGTGGTGTCTAAGTAATTGCTGCATATTGCCGGAACGACAACAAACAAGGCAGAGGGTGAACATGTCTGTCAACGATCATTGTCATTTTTGTGAGATGAACTTGTGAATTAAAGGTGCGTTAAAAAATGTGAAGTTTGTATTTGGCAAAGGAAGTCTAATGGAGGATAGTGTATACAGTCTGCTGTCGCAGCTCGGGTGGGTTCAGCTCTTCGCCGGTGCGCTGTCTACAACTCTCGAGGTTCTAGCAAACCGTCTAGTGTATTCTGATTCCTGGCCTAGTCACTGGAGAGAAATGAAATTAAGCGGAAGTACTAGGTCACGCCAGCCTCGCTAACACTGAAGAGCACCAAAAGGACAATTTTACACAATCTCTACACATCCAAGCAGCACTGCCCCCTAAAGTTTTGAAAAATTTTCTAACAAGCTCGAACCATGGCAAATTTTAAAGGTTTGTACCATTATGTTGTTTTATTTTTATTGTATGGCCACTATAATGCAAGTGGTGATAATAATATGGCTGTTTAGTGCACTTGACAACAAATCCATAGTGCTCCTCTTTCTATTCCACTTTCCGCCTCTAGCCGATAATAAGACCCTTCACTTTCAAAGAAGCTCGACATTTCCTCCACCATTGTGTCTGTGTTTGTGTTTACACGTCACACCATCTTGCCTTTGTCTGCTTGTGAGTGCGCTCCACTCACTCTCTCCACTCGCGGCGTGATAATCTTACCAAAAGATTTCTGCCGATTAGCGTGTTATTTAAACCCCGGCTTTGAAGGTAGCGCCTTTGGGTCCAACATCTACCACGGCATCAAAGAAATTCCCCAAAGCCCGTCATAAGCTCTTTTACACAACCGCGTGGGGGGAAAACAGAAAGAAGAAAAACGCTTCCTCTATTGAGAACCGTGGATCTAGGGAATCGCCAGCTACCATGTCGGGAATTGCATAGGTTACGTTTACATGACAACAACAAATCTAAAATTCCTGTGGTTTCATATTGAGCTGGAGGATGCGTCGGAATTCTATAGTGGAATTTGCTGTTTAACCATCAGATTGCAGATTTGTTGACCTAGTTTGTGGTTAGTAATTACCCTTTAAGGTTTGTGGACCCAACCCATAACAGCCTTTTATTTTGGATATTTCTTTCCAAAACAGTAAATGTCCCATCACTATAGTTACACCATCAAATTGTAGAAGCTGAATGCAACCTATTGTATCGCCAGCACCCCATGGCCTTTTGGAAATGGCGGAACTGCAGCATCTCAAACAAAGGAGGCTGGAGTGAAAGCGTGGCTGGCTATGAGAGCAGATACAAAACAGGATTAGCTGTTCACTTGGGCTAACCTTTATCAAAGTGTGAGGTGTCATACGCAGCTGACATCAGATCATCAGCTGAATGCCTTATGGGGCTTAATGAAGGCTGCACTTTCTCGCACCTGATGCCACAGCTTCAAGATGGAATTTCTGTCTGACAATGAGCAGTTAGGGGGTAGATAATGCCATGCTGAAACTAATTAAAGCTACCGGTATGTACTTTGTTTAATACTTGATTAAGTGATGCTTGTTTCTGTTTGTTAAAGGACCCATATTGCCCTATTTTCTGATTTATGTTATAAAGTTGTTTCCTCAATAAAGGCTTTGTTTATACGATGGCGGTATGAATAGAAGATGCAAAAGTGGCATTGCGTCTTTACTTTTTATTCCGCGTTTAGATGAGTGTCTTCAGAAGGAAATCTGCGTGCATAAAGTAACGCTAAAAGTGTGTGGAATTCGAATTGGGTATGCATGCCAGGCAGCTAGGTGATGTATGTGACGTAAACACGTACGGAATGTGAGCAGATCTGACCAGAGTTTTGCATCTTGAGCAGTGTAGACAGAAACTCTACAGTGAAGCATATTCAACTTTTCCACTCTAGAGGGTAGTTTCAGATTTTTGCATTTTTAAGCCCCTAAAACGCTGTCACCATCTAAACTAAAGGCACTTCCGATAAAATATGTTGTTGTTTTTACCCACAAGCGTTCTCGTGTCAACAGGCCCAAAAACATACTCTGAGTTGTATTTTGTTTCATTCACACGTTTAACACACAAATCCTGCATTTTTAGTCTGAGTTCTTTTCTCAAACAGAAAACACTGTTCCACCTTGTGTTATCATGCAGTAATAGAAAGTGCTCCTGTGTTTTTTAAACTGGACACATTTACAGAATTAGCTGAATAATTTCAGCTCTACTGAACTAAAATTTGGAAAAATTAGGAATTTGTGCAAATATGATTGGAAGTGTCAGCAGATAAGGTCCGTGTCATTTCAAATATCCAAGAAGTCATGAACAAAAGAATTTATCACATTTAATTCCTACTTCATAATGAACAAGTCATTTGTTAAAGGACCCATATGATTTCAGCCCTGGAATTTCCAATCTGTACTAAACAAAACTTAAAAAGGTAAATTGAAAACTACTGTTTCATGACATCAGAAGGTGGAACATAGCATTTTGAGTTTTGGAAATGTAGACAGACTAATAACCCAAGATTATTCAAACATGTGAATGAAACAAAACACAACTCCAAGTATGTTTTGGATGAGGTGGTAACATTCTAACATGGCTTAAAGTTACATTGAACTAAAGGTAAAAGGTCGATGTTAACTTGAAACCAACCACTTCATGACATCACAATGTGGAACAGAGCATTTTGAGCTTTGAAGATGTAAACAGCCTAATAATGTAGGATTACCTAAACAACACCAGGTATGTTTTTAATGAGTTAACAACATTATAGCACGACTCACAAGAATCCATTTTGTGTAATATCGGACCTTTAAATAAACCTTTCAGAAATCTGTTCCCGTTTTTAGAAAGGGGCTTGTAATGCCTTAATTGAAGCAATGCCAATGATTTTTCTTTTGATCTGATACCAAATACATTTTCATAAGCATTGCGGTATTGGACATTTTTAGGTTCCTGTTATAGGAGCTGTTTTCACTCTTGGGGATTCTAAAGATATATTTTGTTTCTGAATTGTTAATTGCTATGGCGCCAGGCCCAGTTTCTCATCATTCTGAAACCCATAGATACAAATCCCTTTTCCATTTATTCTGTTCTAAAAGATATAAAAAAGGATGTAACTGTTTTTGTTTTTGACATTTTCACTCAGAATAGTTGACCTGAAACATAATAATAATCATTATACAACACAAAGCTTTGCAGGTTAGAGAGTTCAATAAAAAAAAGCTCCAAAATGGAACCTAGTCATTTAAATACATTACACTTCTGAAGCTGTGAATGCAAACACAGCATGTCCACTATCCCTTTCCGTCTATATCTTCCTTGGAGACGATGACATTTTCCCATCTATTGCCACCAACGAATCCGTGGAAAGCTCCGTAATGCTTTTGGAGTTAACATGACATTTAGTGATGCCTCGAATCCATTCAAGTCACGGCTACTTGAGATTAGAGCTGCTTTATTAAACTGAATGGTATCTTATCCTAATAACTCTGATACAATGAGCTTTATTTCTGCCAGGCTTCTCTATCTGCAGCTAATATTCCTTCTACTTTATGACCAGAGTCTGTGAACCATAAGTTTCCTTGAGGCACAACATTGGGTTATTGAACTATGATAAAAGCAATGTCCGTCTTGTTATTCTCTCAAAGCATTTCAAAAGAAAATGTCCCTGAAGTTTATATATTTATTTTACTTAAAACTACATTATGTAACTTTGTATCTCCATGATGATCTATTTTTTATTAGTTTATATTGCTGAAAAATACCTTGAAAGAACACGAACACGCATACTTGCTGTGAACCTGCTTGTCTCCATGAACATAGTTTACCTCAATGTCATACTGTGGAATATTTAAAGCAATGCAATAACATCACCAAGAAGAAACTCGCGGGTGGTGGATCCTGTACTGTAAAAGTTACAGAGGGAACGCTTAAGCATTTTGGATTGTATGGCATTGAATCTACATCTCGAGGAATTGCAATGTTTATCCCCACTTTTCAAATACCATGAAGTACATTGGCTCCATTTGACTTCAGGATTGTATTTGCTAAAGCATATTTCTATGTACTCGGGTATAATAACCAAACATATTGATTAAAAAATGTTTGTGCTTTCTTTGTGTGTGTGCAGAGCTTGAAGTTGCGAGGATGAGCACAGATGGGAATTTGCCTGATCTGAAGTTTCCACAGACTGGAGGACAAGGCAACTCCATCCACCTCTCAGCCAACACACTCAAGCAACATGGAAGAAATGGTGAGAAGCCTTTGACTCAAATAATCTTTTTAAGTTTTGTGCATTTTTGCAGCAGAGGAATTCCACAAGGGCCAGGTACTGGATCTGTTCTTTTTAAGCCCTATGAATCTTTAAAATTATTTCCTCTTATTCTTATTTCTTATTTACTTGTAATGGGGCAGCACAAATTAATGAATAGTTAAAATGTAAATATGTAAAGATTATAGACAGTGTGGCAAATTTCCATCTTCAGTCCCTCGGCAGGTTGATGAAGAAGTTGCCGATTCAATACATACATACGATACATACACCACGATACGATATATATCTCGATACAGCGCACTTTCGATTCAATATGATTCAAACTGATTCAATACGGTTCAGTAAAAAACATATCATAAATCATGGCTGTTAAACTACTTCTAGTGCAAAGTTAATATGAAACACAAACATTTTAATCATCAAAACAGTACAAATGTCAAATAAACAAGCAACAAAACTGTACCGCTGTAACAAAATAATTTATTAAAATATACCAAAAAATACAATATATTGATACAGCATCCATTGATATTGATATTGTATGATCACATGAAACGATACGATATATTGATATTTCGATATTTTTGCGCACTCCTATACAGGACGGAGAGAAGTACAGCAACAATCACACAAAAGCACAGTACATAACACCAGCACACTGCATACAGTACATACAATACAATTCAAAGTCAAGAGTTAAAGAGTTAAACCAACAACCCCTCAATATAAAAAAATATATATATATTTTCTTGAACATGGTGACATATTTGACCATTGAACCACTGTTTTAAAGCTTTAGAATTCATTTGCAACAATCTGTTATTATTGGGATTGGGTTTGGGAAATTGGGATTGTCACACATATTATTTTCAGCAAGGCTATTATCAAGCCAGTGTAGATTTTAGCTAATTGCTAAAATGATCAAATCAACAAAACTCACTAAATTCATTTCCAAGTATTATGATACTATATAGTGATAAATACATATATAATACCAGTACTGTATAGCAATATTGACCCTTGACCTTTTGAGTACTTTTTTATCATGCTTTGGACATTTTGCAAGTTTTTTGACGTTCGATTCCAAGCTCTGTATTGTGTCAATTGCGCTCCTCTTTCCACCATCTCATATTCAAGACATGTTCATATTTACCTACTATGATATACCATTCAGTTTACTTCACGCTTTCTTTCTCAAAATAACAGTGGTTTTTAGGCATGAATCCCCCTATATTACCATATTTATAGCCTCTCATTACCTACAGTATAAAACCTTGGTTGGTATAAAACTGCATAAAATAGCACTTTGATCTTTTCTTCAGTCAATGAACACAAAAGCGTCCAGAGAAATATATTCATGTGCTGTTGTCCTAACTGTAAACGAGGCAGTTAAGACACAATACATGGCTATATTCAGAAGGCCATTTTTACACTTTATTACTAGCTCATGCAAATCAGAATGAACTCCCGCAGCGCCCAGTGCCTCTCCGCTGGATGACTAACTCCGTGTCCAGCCGAGCCCAGGCCGGTCATTATACAGGGCCAGGAGATATTTCCACCGTCATCCACTACTGTAGCACCGCGATTGTTTTCTTTTCATCTGAGTGAGTGATCTCGGTCGCAGTGGGAGGGAACTTTCTTTTATATGTGTGCTCAAAAGTGAGACGGCAGGAGGTTAGAACTGTGTGAATGTGAAGAGAAAAAGAAATAATTCACAAGAAAAGCCCGGCCCTTTGTCAGATACAGCGCAGGACTGATATCTGCATTTGCCGGTGAAATTCAAATGGTTGTTTATTTAAGCTTTATGAGTGTCTTGGCAGCCTTGACATCGACTGGTTCTGGTTAAAAGGAAAAACGATGATTTAAAAAAAAGTCAAACAGATTTCAAGGTTTGGTAAGTTTAGCAAGAAAAATATCTTTTACTTATTTTGCAGCCTGTATTATGCTTTTATGTAATTGGAAGCAATGGAGTACAACAAGAACTTTTTCTTGGCTCATTCTTGTTTTCATATTGATAGTTAAAGGTGCACTCACACCTTTTTTTTTTTTTTTTTTTCATATATCAGCTGCTTGTTTCTATGGAAATGCCATTCCTTTGCCTGGAATGTTCCACAGTATGATATTAAACAGCTCTACCTTACATTTATTAAATTACAGTGGGATTACGGATCAAAACTCACTCTCTCCACAGATCTGACCTGTAACTTGGTCTGGTTTGGTCTCCGTGAAGATAGAAAGATTTAATGGTTTACTGTGGAACTTTCCAGACAAAGCAATAACATCCCCACTGAGAAAAGAATTTGACAAACCACTAGAAAAGTTACACAATGCACCTTTGATGGAAATTACAAAATGTCGATTATATACATATTTAAACTGTATATGCATCCTCGTTCACTATATTAAAACATTTTCAAATAGTGCAATTATTAGTAGTACTGGATGTATTATGGTAAGATAGACTATTGAGTTTCATTGAACATATCGGGCGCTTGATGAGTTTTGACTTAGCACAAGTTTGTTTGTTTTGCAGGTGAGATCCGCATCGCCTTTGTCTTGTACAAACACATAGGAGGCTACTTGTCAACGGAGAACGCTAGCATGAAGCTGGGCAACGACGCAATGGCTACCAACTACTCAGTCATCGTCAACTCTCCAGTCATCACAGCAGCCATCAACAAGGACTCCAACAAAGTGTACCTCTCCGATCCAGTTATTTTCACCATCAGACATCTACAGGTACAACCCATTACGCATTTACAGGAATATATCTAAGTAATTTTTTTACTTAGTGGCAGTCATAAAAGCAACAAGTGGAAGGATAAATAAATCAGTATATGATAAATAAACAGCACTGTACTATGCTATTATACTACTTTTTACTTTTTTACTAGGTCTTCCCTGTAGGAAAATATTGGGCATTGGTAAGAAAATTTTGACTGTGCCAGGTATCCAAGTATCTTATTAGGTAGCAATCTGATACATTTTCTAACATTTAACCATTTTTACTTCTAGCTTTAACATCCACAAAGCTATTAGGTAAAATAATAGGTAAATATCTTAACATACTGTTGCTATCTTATCTGCTAGAGGGTGACCGATATGGGTTTTGTTTAGAATACAGAGAAATCAATGGCTGATGACCAGAGGTGGTGCTACCATTAGGCAAAAGTTGGCGGCTGCCTAGGGCCCCCAAATCTGAAGGGACCCCCAAACAGTTGTTCTCAGTGCCACTAATGGTCGAGGCCTCAGAGCAATTTGATTTTTTCTCAATATGACATTAAATGAGAGTAGTTTACTAGTAGGCGACCTAACTAATAAGACAAGTTTCCAGTCCACCATAATTCAAATAAATAGAACAAAGTCTCAAGAACAATGAGGAAAAACCGACAAAATATAACAGTGCATTATAGTGAGGGCCCCAAACTCAAGTTCGCCTGGGGCCCCAAAATTGCTAACTCCACCACTGCTGATGACTTCTGATGATATTTTTGGGCAGATATGTAGGGCCTGATGATTTTCCCCAAATTATCTCATTTGAATTTATTGCAACCTTGTATAGTTAAACTTTAGTTCTATCTTTGTACGATAGTGTTCAAATCAAGCAACATGGGTCACACAAAATATCAGCCACTGTTTGAGAATTAAGGCCATTATTCTCAAAAGTGCAATCAACAAGTGCAATTATATGTGGCAATGATAGGCCACATTTATTGCCCAGTTACTTGGTCGCCAGTGACTAGATACATACATTATTGCACATACTGCAGATTCAGGGTACTTTAGGGTACTTTACTGTTGTGCACTGTAACAAAGCCTTGCTGATTTAAACTGTGCTATTGTCCATATCCAATACATTTTTATTATTTATAGGATTTTCAATTATGCTCAATGTATTACACCTCAGTGCCCCTCTAGCCGTGCTGTTTACATACACCAAAGGGTCTTTTTCTTTTTTTCTCATATACTTCACTAGACCTCCTTGTTTCTTGTGTGAGTCTTGCCCTCAGCGATTATCATTGACGCTGGCCAAACCGCTGGAGAATTGCTGTGTGGTCTCTGGAGTACAAGCAACCTGGGAGGAAGAGACAGAAATAGAGCTCGCAGGGATATACAGGGGGTAAAAAGGACGGTAGCTCATAAGTGTCAAAATTAAACTGCGGGGAAATGTCAAAGGGGCAAGGGCAGCGCAGTTATTACAGTGAGTCACCTTTTCTTAAGTGTAAATTGTGATTCTGGTTAGATATTATCATTTTTATCGTGGCTGTTTTATATTACTGCTACAACATTCAAAGCAGTTTGTTGAGACTCCGATAGTATCCATTTTGTTTTTATTCCTCAAATACACCTTGAACATTAATTCTCAGGGGCTTATATGAACACCACAATCTGATTCTAATCTGATTTATTTATTTAAATACGTGCAATTTTAATAGCCTTATAAAGCTAAAATCTGGCAGCCACTGTGAGCGGGGTCGCTTCTCCACAAATCTTACCTGTAACTTGGCATTACATGTTTGTCTCCATGGAGAAAATTGAGTTCAGTACTGTATTGTGGAACATTTTAAGCAAAGCAATAACATCTCTACGGAGACAAACAGGTGGCGTACCGTCTGCTGGAAATGTTTCATACTGTACTTTTAATCATAATATTTTTAGTTTAGTTTAGTTTTTTTTTAGTTTATTTATTTAATGAGACAGGGACAGTGCACAATATACATTAACCTTAACAGGAGAGATGCATTGTGCCAGGTTATAGCGCCAGTGTTAATTTCCACCTGTAGTCCCTGGGCAGGTTGATGTTATAGTTCATAATATCAAATATACAAAGAGAATGTCTTTATAATGTCCAGAGCATCATAATTCACTGTGCAATTTACAGTGCAATTTACAGTACAAGTCAAGCTTCAGTTAAAGGGTCCATATTACATTATTTTCTGATGGTACAATGTTGTAGCCAGGCTGGCACCACCTAGTGCTTTCGCTCAATTTCATTTCTCTTCAGCAACAAGGTCAGGAATAAGAATACATTAGACTGTTTGCAAGAACCCCCGGAAGTGCAAGTTTGGGCACCAGCCAATCAGCAAAGAGCCATACATTCAGTGTTGTCAGTGATTCCCGAGATTGAGGATTTAAAGCCGGAACAAAGAGAATGTTTGGTGAATTTTATCAAGGGGAAAGACTTTATTGCCCTTCTTCCTATGGGATTTGAGAAAAGCTTAATATACTAGTTAGCCCCTTTAGCAGCAGTTGGTTAAATGATAAAAAGCACCCACCTACAGTCAAGCGAACAGATTCTAACACGCGAGGTCAGACGGTTTCTACGAAGTGAAACCAGCTGATGAATAACAATAATGTTGTTTCCTCATAAAAAACATACCTGGAGTTGTGTTTTGTTTCGTTTACATGTTTAACACCCAAATTCTGCATATTATGTTCTATTCTCAAACAGAAAACTATCTGAACACACTAATAATTTACTACTAATAAAGGATTACTCAGACATGTGTGAATGAAACAAAACACATATCCAGGTATGTTTTTAGGAGGGAACAACATTTTAACTTAAAGCTCACAAGTGTTAATTTTTCATAATATAGGACCTTTAAACTATATTGGATGTGAAATTGACATTTTGGTGCATTCGCTGCAGCAAATTAAAGTCTCCTCTCTCTGGTAAAGCAATAACCAATCAGAGGTGGTCTTAAAAGAAACTCTAATTAAAGGATCTCTGAGCTCCCAGCATGGTAGCTGCAGGCGAGTCTGGTTTATGGATACTGAAGGAATATATCCGTTTAATTTGAGTTTTATTGGAGCATAATGCCTATTATTCCTTGAAACCACGAGCATAATATTTGGATTAAATGCAGGTTTAATATGTAGAGAGGGAGGAAAATGAAATGTCTCAAAATGACAGCCATTCAAGACAATTTAAAAGGGGTATTTTATGCAGCGCAGTTACGGGATGTTGTTTAATATACTGAAGGAGACTCATTTTGATTTTAGTTTAAGTTCACATAAGGAGAAATGACAACACAGCATTTTAGTATGTCTCTTGTTGTCTATCCATGGGAATGATGCAGAATTAGGATGGTTGCCATAGCAATTAATAATTTACAAGATTTTTTGAATGGGAAAAAGTCCCCCCCAAAATGAAAACTGCAGATAACAGGAAGCTGAAACCCACAAAGAGGTGGCAGATGTTTTGTTTTGTAATATCTCTATTATCTCTACTATCTCTGTCATTACTGAGGGGAAGTATCCACGTGAAATAGCCTTGTGTAAATTCATACAAAAGTTTTAAATTAAGTGGAAAATTTGTTATTAAGTATATTTATTATATTTATTATATATTCAAATTGCACTAAACTCGCATACACAAAAAACTAAATTGTGAATAGAAGTATTACAAATAATTTTTAAAAAGAACCAAAAATATAATTATTTTCCTTTTCAGAAAACACTTTTTTTTTAAATGACATTTCTCTCTCACAAATTCTCTTTCACTGTAAAGGTCTTTTTCCCAGCCTCTGTTTAATCTTTTCTATTTAACCATTTGGTTTTGGATCATTGTCCCTCGGCCGAAGATGACGCAGTCCCAAAGTTATTGTTACACTTCCCCGCCTCGCCTCTTAATGGTCCCAATTAAAGCCATTAATGTTACTGGGGTCATCCCATCTCCTCACCGTGGCATTTTTTACAGTACGTTTGTCGTGTGAAGGGTGAACCCACTCAGCTGCAAATTTACATTCACAGAAGATGAACCTTATTAGACTAATTACCTTGCACAAAGTGTGAAACAGAGGCAACTGCAGCTCTTTTACTGTTTATTGCAAAGGCGGGCGCTCTTAACCTTGGGATGATGTGAGCTGCAAGGGCAAAAGAAGATGGCGACTGGTACCTCAATGTTCCAAACTATGGCATTATCCTGCATTTATTCAGTTACAGGAGTTTTTATTCTAGAAAAGTACTTTGAAAAACATGCATTCTTGTTGTGAGTGGAGTTTTTGATGTGGTTACAGCGCTGTTATCTTATCAAAAACATACCTGGAGTTGTGTTTTGTTTCACACACGATTGAGTAATCCTTTATTATTAGTCTCCAACCTCAAAATGCTCCATTCCACCTTGTGATGTCATGAAACCATCGTTTTCCAGTTAAGAGCTACTTTTTATTTTTTGTTCAGTAGAGATTGGCAATTCTAGGGCTGAAATGATCCAAATGATTCTGGAGAAAGTGTATAGAGTTTAAAACACAGTGGAGCACTTCCTGTATTACCACACAACATCACAAGTTGGAACAAAGTGTTTTCTATTTGAGAGAAAAACTCGCAAGGTTTGTGTGTTAAACATGTGTGAACAAAACTCCAGGTATATTTTTGATGAGAAAACAGTATAACATAGAATAGAAAACGGCATAATATGGATACTTTAATGCAAAGCAAAAGTCGTAACAACAAATTTACATTTCCAGAGGATGAACCCTATTAGACTAATTACCTTGCACAAAGTGTAAAACGGAGGCTACTGCAGCTCTTTTATTGTTTATAGTAAGGAGGGGGGGCTCTTAACCTTGGGATGATGGGAGCTACAAAGGCAAAAGAAGATAGCGACTAGTACCTCCCTTTTTGTTTTTCAAGCCACAAAGTAATTGGGCTCGAGAGGAATGGCGTTTGATGTATCTATTTATCAGCAGTTATGTGTCACCGCGCTGGGTCCGTTGTGTGCGGGTGCCTTAAATAAAAATGGCGAGAGAACTAGCGGGGAGGAGACAGAGGTAGCGCACATTAAAGCTAAGGCAGGCCATTGTCAAACAGTGGAAGTTAAAGACCAAGGTCACCAAAGTGTTTGAAAAGTAGCATGGGGTGGCTCGGGCTGCATAAATGAAGCCACCTGCGAGCATGCATACAGAACTGGAGTCATGTGTAGAATGTAATGACTTTGCTGACATTGAGTTAGTTTGTCTGTTGGAAGTCATCAAGTTTTGTTTAGTTCAAATGGTCAAATAAACTGTATTATGACATAAATATGTAATTAAAATACGTACTTATAAAATGGAAAACTACAAAAAGCCCTAATTACCATTTGTACTAACAGATGCTACTACTACTACTAATACTATCACAACAGTCTATTGCTAAATAATGGAGACCCAGTCAAGATTTTGCCTCCAATCTTAGCACTGCAAAGCGGGGTGTGGGGAAAAATTATATATGGCTACAATAAAACAGCTCCAGAGACCCATTTAGTCAAAAAAAATTAATGGAGCTGATGACAGAAAGGGCACGAGGATGTGAGGAAATCCAGCATTAGGGCCGCAGACAGCGTAAGAAAACACACTTTAGGACAGAACTGTAAACGGTCTCATGTGAATGAGAAGCTTTTCTACAGATCCAGATCAAACCAAACTATAGAACAATACTAAGTTGTTACAGGAAGTGGGCGCGGGGCTGTGTTATGCTGTGGGAGGGTATCCGGACGGCAAGCGATCGTCCTGCACAGCACACGAACATGTTAGGAATGTTAAGCATTTTTCATCCTTATATATTTCCAAATAAAAGAAGCTTTGAGCATGTTACATGTTGTTTTTCAGTGGACTAGTTTGATATTTATTTTGACTATTCTGGCAATTTACTGATCGTGCCACACCACGCCCTCAGTCTGCTCCACTCCACCTGATATTCAGGCACAGCACACCTCTTGTTTAGATCTCCACACCCCTATACACACCTCAGATACAAGGGTAAAACACAAGCTGTGGTATCATTTCTGCATAATTTACATTTGTTTGAAAAGTACTCTTGTACTTGACAGCACATGGCATTAAAGGTGGACTTTGTAACTTTTCTAGTCAGAGAGTCCTCCACCTGCTTGTATTCATGGAAATACCATTGTATTTCCAGGAATTTCTTAATATGAACTCACTTGTTTTTAGCTTGGTCTGTTGTCGTCACCTGCTTGTTTCTAGAGACTGACAAATTTAATGCCATACTGGGGAGCATTCCAAGCAAATATTTCCATGGAGACAAGCAGGTGGTGAACTCTTAACCTGAAAAGTTACATAGTAAACCTGTAAATATATTTATTTTGTTGCGAATTTGTCCAACCAGTCTATTTTTATATACATTAGTTTATCCTATATTTGGAAATGGTTCAAATTGTTCATTATCCCAGTTTACTTTAATATTGTTTCTCTTTTTTTTTCCTTGTCTGTCATCTTTACAGCAATCAGAGGAGAACTTCAACCCCAACTGTTCTTTCTGGAGTTACTCTAAGAAAACTATGACTGGATACTGGTCTACGCAGGACTGCAGATTACTGGGGACCAATCGGACACACACCACCTGCTCGTGCACACATCTCACCAACTTCGCTGTTCTGATGGCTCATGTTGACGTGAAGGTATGTCTGAAACTTTGTGACTGAAAACTTGTGTAAAATGTGTCAGTCTTTCTCACCTTAGGCAACCGTCTAAAGTTGTTTTGAAAGAGTTATGAGTCATAATCATAGTTCAGTGGAAGTTTAAGATTGTCAGACCTCACAGGGCTACACTTTAAAGTCTATTGTGGAAGTAAATGGAGTGGACACCAGACAGTGCAAGTATTTGAACTTTTCTAGTATTACTGTATACTTTTACTATTGTTTGACATGCAGGAACAGAACATTACATTGACATTATGCATTGCCTGTACGGTATAGATATATAGTAATCCATATATAGAATAACATATATTGGATTCATCCTTTAGTTGAAAATGGACTCTTTGTTCGTCACATTTTGTAATAGTTAACCAATTATTGTATTAACATTTCTACGCATTGCAGCAGAAACAAGAAAGTATTGTGTGAATTAGCAGCAGAAATGAGAAAATACTGAGTAACTGGACAGTTCAGTCTGCTTCTTCACTTAAAATATTTACTAGTACTTCTCTTTAAAGCTGCTTTTCCCTGAGATCCTAATAATTTGGAGAGCTTTTGCCAGCCTCTTTCTAGTCAATTAGTCAATGCACAGGGCCTGTCTTCAGTCAACCCTAGTTTCCTGCAAGATATTAAGTTGCATCCAACATCAAATGGTTAACAAAAGAATGAACAATCTTTGAACATAGAAATAATGCATTTGGTACTTTTAACTATTGAACATTTTTGCATATTTATTAGGTAATTGAATTAGGTGATACAATAACCTTTCATAGGTCAAGCAACTATGTATTAAGCCTCAACCAACTTGCAACTTTCCATCTCCTTTCTGCATTAACTTAAAACAGATTTTTAATTAGAATTCACTATAATGGTTATGGATTTATTTCTGTTTGAGAAAAAACATAAAATAGAAATTGGCTGAGAACATGTTACAAATGGTGCTATTGAAGGCTCAGAGAAGTTGGTCCTTCGGATGGTGACAGACGGCTTCATTATTTCTGTAGAAGTTTGAGGAGCTTAGTGCTGACTGCGCCGACCACTTCTCCCTATCTGCTGTGGCATCTGTCTCTGGATAGCCTCAATACAACGAGAGGGAGGGAAATCACTCCAACACGTCTCACTTGGCCCCGCTCCACAAAACCACTAAGTTCCTCTATTGGACATTCTCAATACAGTCTGTTGAAAGCACGCAACAGTCGCATTTTTGAATCGCTTTGGATTGACAAAATGAAAGATTTTTTCTTTTTTTTTTTTTTTTTTTTGGCTTAGGGAAAATTGTTGCTTAGAACTGGCTGTGTGACTTGTAGGCCTGCTGAGATGTTGGAAAGGAGCTGGGTTCACAATGGGTAGCAGATAATGCCAGCCTTCATCCAATTGAGTAAAAAGGAGCGTTTTGTCAAGCTAGTTCTTTAAGTTTGAGCTTGATGCAGTTTTTGTCTGGTGAAAGCTGTAGACAGCATTAACTACTCTTATGTAGTCTAGCCTATGCTAAGTGGTGCGACGAAAACTTGAAGTAGTGACTAGGGGTGTGCATGGCCTTGAGTCTGATGATACACAATTCAATATATCACAATATTGCGATTTATCAATAATTGCCTCTAATAATACAATCAACTTCATCAAGTATATTTAAAAATGTTAAATCATCAGAACAGTGAATGTAATGAATTATTTTTAAAAAGCGTTTCAAATTCATTTTGAATCGATTCGAGAATTGTGCAATGAAGTATCACAATATATCACAGAATCAATTTTTTTCTTACACCCCTAGTAGTGACTACGATACAAACATTTTCAAACTCTATTCTAATACTAAAGAATAGACTCGACACTCAATACTGATTCCAAAACCATCATGATAATAAAAACAACTCTTTAGGCATGGTCTTTTTGGTAGTAGTGTAGTAGTTGTAGTAGTAGTGTAGTAGTTGTAGTAGTTGTAGTTGTTGTAGTTGTAGTAGTTGTAGTTGTAGTAGTTGTAGTAGTAGTGTAAGTATGTAGTATGTTGTAGTAGGAGTAGGAGTATGTAGTAGTAGGAATAGGAATAGGAATAGGAGTAGGAGTATGTAGTAGTAGGAGTATGTAGTAGTAGGAGTAGGAGTATGTAGTAGTGGTAGTAGTGGTAGTAGTAGTAGTTGTAGTATGTAGTAGTAGTAGTAGTAGTAGTAGTAGTATGGAGTAGGAGTAGTAGTAGTATGTAGTAGTAGTAGTAGTAGTAGGAGTATGTAGGAGTAGTAGTAGTAGTAGTAGTAGTAGTAGTAGTAGTAGTAGTAGTGCTTTCTTTTGTATTGCCATGTGGCCTGATGTCTGTGTAATCCTGCAGGTAGACTCCGTAGTGGTCCATGTATAGAGGTGTTAGACGTGTTCTGATACACTTCAAGTTTATTCTATTCAGGAAAGGTTCATTTGAATGTGACTTTGTAGCGTTAGATGTAGGAAATGTACTGAATAGTGAAAGTAACCAACGTAGGTACTGATTCACTTGTGATAAAAGAACTCTGAATCAAATGTATGGAATAAATGAATAAATGTATAGGCAAAACCCACCATCTTTGCTCTGATTATATAAATTGTTCAAAGAGATACTTTAAGTAAAACCATAAACAAAAGAACAGAAAAAACATGAGCTGCTGGGTTACTCCTGGTACGTACATTAAACTCTACTAGTAGTGCTATATCAATTATATAACTCTATAATTTGCTCTTAAATTAGTGTTTAACATGTTCAGATTTTGTTGTTTAATTGGTTTATCATTAGGCTAACTAAAAATTGTATGTGTGACCTCAACCTCTAATTTGATTGTATAGGGTCCTTTATGACAATATTATACCCACAGACTATATATATAAATGGACATAGCTAACATACTAGTTGCCATGTTCCAAATAGGAGGTCTTCATGGGGGTGCTTTTAGCTCCAGCAACTCTGGCTCCAGTTGTCTTTACATTGGAAAACTGTCACCCCTTAACCTGCTAGAATCATGAGCCTCATTTGCCTGGAGCTGGACACGATGAGTAGCCTGATTCATCGGCCAGTTTCACTTCGTGGAAACCGTCTGACCTGAATTTGTTCGCTCGATGGTATACGGGTTCTTTTTTAATTTAACCAATCGCTGCTATTTGGTCACAATGTACGTAATGCACCGCTAACAGAGCTAACTGGTATATTAAACTTTTCCCATTATTCTGTAGGAAGAAGGGCAATTTCGTCTTTTTCCTTGATAAAATTCACCAAACATTCTCTTTGTTCTGGCTTTAAATCCTCGATCTCGGGAATCATTGCCCGCACGGAATGTCTTGCTTGTCTACATCCATCTCGACCACTTTGTTTACTCTTGTGCTGTACCCCAAAAGGATCCAGACAGGCGCCTGAGTTTGACATCAATTACTTCACAGCTCTTCGCTGATTGGCCGGTGTGCGGTCGACAACTTCCGGGGTTCTTGCAAACAGTCTAGTGTATTCTGATTCCTGACCTAGTTGCTGGAGAGAACTGAAATTGAACCGAGGCACTAGGTTGCGCCGCCTGACTACCTTTAATTTAGAAGTTCTAATGATGGCAAGCAGTTTTGTGTGCATGATCTCTAGCATTTTGTATATTTTGTTTGTTTGTTTGTTTTGTTTGTTGTGTTCATCTATTACCTTACCGTTTTGGAGAAGCAATAGGCCTTTTACTTCCATTCAGATTTGCAGTTGCCTACCTCCTAGATCTATCTTTTCATATTGGACATTATTAAAAGACTATTTGAATGTGGAGAATCCTTTTCATTTGACAGCCCCTTTTCTTTCTATATGAGAAAACGGTGAATGGAGGCGAAAAGTCACAGAAGGAAGAAGAAATATAAATCGACCATTTTGTGTCTCCATGGCAACAGGACATACCTCCACTCCAGTCTGCATTGTTAATACTCATTACCCTGACTCCAACAGATTGTATGATTCAAACCTGGTATATATCTTGGTGGCAGTGGCAAAAAATACAAACATGAAATCAAATAAAACACAACTTATAGATTTTTAGATTTTAGATTTTTTTTTTTTTTCATTGGAGAAATAAGGTAGACAACAAAGCAAATATTTTATCCTATTATAGTTTGCTCCAGCTCTATACATCTGTCAGAAGCCAGCTGTGATTTTTTTATTCAATGCAAAACCAAAAATTATATATACATAAATTAGAGTTGATGACATATATTTATATTTATACATATATTTGTATATTTTCAGAGATGCTTTCGTATTTTAGATGCCATTATACATAGGCCTGGTTAGTCTGTGCTATTTGCTGCAGTTACTACGCTACTATTATTATTGTGGACTAGTGTATGTTCACAAAAGTTTTAAGTTAAAAAAAATCTGTAATTACAGTGTCATCATCTTTAAAATTTTACCTTAAAATCATCTCGCAACCCCGACTTTGGGATCCACATGAGAGGGCTTTAGATTGGGGCATTTGCGAGTAAAAACCACAAAATATTTTATTGGAAGTGCCTTTCATTTAGACAGTGACTGCGTTTTTGGGGCTTAAAAACGCAAAAATCTGAAGCCACCCTCCAGAGTGGAAAAGTTGAATATGCTCCGTCGTAGCGTTTACGTCTACACTGGCCAAGACGCAAAACTCTGGTCAGATCTGCTCGTGTCGGGTACGTCACATACATACAATACACAGAAGCAAACATGTCGCCTGGCATGCATACCCAGTCGAATTTCACACACTTTTGCATCACCGTATCGACACAGATTTCCTCCCAAAACGCTCGTCTAAACACGGAATAAAAAGCGAAGGCAGTACGCCACTTTTGCGTCTTCTGTTCAAACTATCATCATGTAAACGTAGCCTTAGATTGTATTTTCAGCCTTTAGGGGTCATTAGATGAGGCCATTATATAACAGTGTATAAGTGTAAAACTGTTTTGTATATGATGTATATGATCAATAGTGCCCAAATGTACTGCTTTCATGCCCGCTCTGTTTATTCTACAAA